AAAGGGATATATGGGGCAAAGACTTGGAAGCAGAAAATCTCACTGAGAAATCAAGTTGTGATCACCACTTCATTAAATGGCTCACCAATGGCTAGTCGTTTAAGTCTTGAATTATACTTACCCAGTTTTCACTCTGTCTCCCCAGCAGCATTTTAAAAAAATTAATTAATTAATTTATTTTTGGCTGCATTTGGTCTTCATTGCTGAGCATGTGCTTTCTCTAGCTGTGGCGAGTGGGGGCTACTCTTCGTTGTGGTGCGCGGGCTTCTCATTGCGATGGCTTCTCTTGTTGCAGAGCACGGGCTCTAGGCGCGCGGGCTTTAGTAGTTGTGGCTCGTGGGCTCAGTAGTTGTGGCTTGTGGGCTCTAGAGCGCAGGCTCAGTAGTTGTGGCTCACAGGCTTAGTTCCTCCGCGGCATGTGGGATCTTCCCAGACCAGGGCTCGAACCCGTGTCCCCTGCACTGGCAGGTGGATTCTTAACCACTGCACCACCAGGGAAACCCCAGCAGCATTTTAAGGAGTTGGCCTGTGCCAGCTCCCTGCCGCAGCTAGAAACTGAAGGGCAGAGAGAGATGGAGACAGACAGTATAACAAGGATATATTTTTGAAGAAAGACTTCTTGTGACTATATTATTCACTAATATATTTATTCATAGGAAGAATATATTTATAAAGATTCTGAATATTCAAAAATCTATTAACGAATAGATTCTTCATGAATATATTTATAAGCAGAATACGTTTTTAAGAAGAATTTATTTATAAGAAAATATATTCATGACAAATATATTCTTGAATATTAAGAATGTATTCACAGGAACACTTCATATTCAGGAATATATTTTTATGCCCTGGGAGTTGGAAAGACAAACTGAATATTCTTCAAAAGGATGGAGCAAAATGTAATGCAATCAAAATTATTTCAAAAGGAAGGAGTGAACGTGGCAAGTTGGTCATTTGCTGGGTGGTTAAGAAATGCTTCCAGATCAGGCACCTGGTTAGACGTAGGACTCAGGATTCAAGCCTGGGCTTGACTCCAAAGCCCTAGTACCTTCCCCTTTAGTTCCCTGCCTCCAGCCCTCCCTCGGCAGATGGAGATTCCATAGACACAAGAGACTCAACCAAGAAATCCCACGGATGTCTGAGAGTCAGCGGTCAGCCAGGGGAAGATGTCACAGGCCAGAGCCCTGTGCTAATAAGGAGTCAATTTCCTGCGCTGTCACTCTTGTGATCTGTTTAGAATGTGGGTTATACAAGGTTAGCATCTAATTACAGAGGGAGGAAAGCGGGGTTCAGAGCTGATTAAGGATAGATTTTTCGTAGAATGTCTGCAGGTTGTTAGAAGTGACAAATTTATTTTTGCAAAAATTACCTGAAATTACAGGCGTTTAAAGTCTATAGTCGCAGAAGTCCTAGCTCCCTTAGGATTCTTGCTGATGATCTCATTTCCAGCATCATGATGTGTTGTATGAATGGTCCTTTGGGGGAACTCTTTCTAATATCCTAGAAGTTGTATTTCTTAATGCCCTGATGGCATTTTTTCCCCTTTGTCCCTGACTCACTTATGTTCCGGGTGGGACTCAGGAAAAGAGATGGGGAGTAAGGGCTGAGGCTGGTACCCAGGGGCAGTGGAGGCCTTCATACCATCTGGGCACTTTGGGATGCTTCCTGACTGCTGAGTGTGGCGGGGGCCCTCCTGGAAGAGCGAAGGATACCAACTCCTAATGATCCAAGCCTTTCTGGAGAGCATGGGGCGCGGGGAGGGAGCTGGCTGGCGCTGCTTCTGGGTGTGGTAGCCTGGAGTCCAGGCCGATCAAGGGCCCTTAGGAGCATCCCAGGGCCCGCCCCACGTGCTCCTGGGCCCCTAACACGTAGCCACACTAAGAAGAGTGGGCCCCTTGGGGTCAGGCTTGATGCAAATTTGAATATGTATGCGGGAGATTCCTACAAGATTATTTTAAAAAAATGGATCGCTGTTGCTGTTACTTTCCTGACCCCTATTTAGTGGCTACTGTTAGGTGTAAGGCACCTTATTTGTGTGTTGTGTCAGTTGCAGTCACACATGCACACATCCTCAAAATCCAATTAAAAAAACCCCTCGGGGGTAGGTATTATTTTCTAATTTTATGAAGACGTTACAACTATTTCGGAAGTCAGAGAGCTGGAATCTAGATTTGAGTTTGATTGGTTTGCTTCGTTCATTGATGCAACAAACGACTTGCTGTGTGCCCATTACGTGCCAAATACTATGCCAGATGCCAGGAAGAAGTGAAGAGTAAGAAGCCATGGTCTTGGTCCTCACAGACCCTAGACTAGTGGGGAGAGACAAGCGAGTAATAACAATAAAGACTGAGGAGCACAGGATGGGAGGCACGGCTGCTGCGGGAGCTAAGGCGTTAAGGAAGCCTCTGGAGGACGGGGGAGGGGACACCTCAGCGGAGGGGGCAGCAGATGCAAAAGGGGAGGCCCAAAAGAGGGGTGAGTGTGGAGACAAGGAGGGGGTTCAGTCTTGGTCCAGCCCAGACTATGTGTGTGTGAGACGAGAGAGAGAGAACAGAGCTGTGCTTGAGGGGAAGGGGGGGGCGCGTGAGAGCCCCAGTGCTGGCTGCCGACTGCACACCTCGCTGCCCACGTCCACGTCCAGTGATGCCGTGTTGGTAGAAGAAGAAATACAGCCCAGACGCTGACAGAGAGTCAGAGGATTCTAGTCTCCTGGCTCAGGCAGCTGCCCTGGTGACGGGTACTGCTCCCGTTGGTGGGGCCATTTGAATGTCAAGGTCGAGGCGCTTGGATGACAAAGTGGGGATGTGCTGCAGCAGGCGGCTGCACTCCTGGATCAAGCGCCTTCTGTCCGATCATACCGTCTTCTAGGGACACAACAGTTCAACCCTAATCTGGCTTGGAATTATCTGTCCTGTTCTAGATCCTTCTCTTAGAATGACATGTATTAAATATACAAACCACAAATCTCATGTCTTCCATGAAGCCTACATAAATGAGCAATTTTGAGGTTCTGTTTAATTAAAAAAAACCCTCAGACTTAAACACTCAAATCGTTAACACCTAAATTTATTTCCCTGAGAAAACATACTCCAAAAGTGCTCAGAAGCGGCCGATTTCTCTACCGGCCGACGGGTGCAGGGCCACTGCCTCTGTTCCTTCCCAGCTGGGAAGACAGCCTCCAGGCTATTACAACATATTCATAAAAGCAGTGAGGTGGAGGTCTTATTTTATCTGTTTATTATCATTTAAAATATATTAAAATTTTAACATAGAAGCAGGAATTTTAACTGTACGTGGCAGTCAAAAAAACAAAACAAAACCCAAACAACAAATAAAACATCACAGAAAGAAAAATGCACATTAACCAATAATACATTAAGATTCCATTTAGTTAAGGTGAGGGTCTAAAGAATGAAATATAAGTACACCTCTTAGAGAAGAATTTTTTTTCCTTTGGTGACTTGAAGTTTGATAAACTCTCCAAGCAACTTTCTTAAACCGTAAGATTCTTAACTGAAGTAGATAGGTACTGTAGGTCTGACTCTGTTTTATGTATTTCTTTTCTCTCCCACCTGCAAAAAAAACCACAACCCCTGCCACGCAAAAAAACCAACCAAAAAGATGGAGCTCCCATACTGTGAGGCTGACTCCAAGTAACTTCAGCCTCAAATGTAGTCACTTACACAAAACAAATAAGGGCTGATAACAAATAAGAATTGTTTGAACATATCATAGACACCCAGCTCCCCACTTTAGAAATCTTCCCTTTAATGGATTGTCTCTGTAAAGATGTACCCAGCGCCCCCATGTAACACGGCTCGTGGCACACACGCAGACAGCCCGCAGGACAAGTCAGCCCCCCTGAGGCGACCCTTAGAGCGGAAGCTGTGAAGATGTCGGGGGGGGGGGGGGGGGGGGGGGGGGG